TTAACACCAACAGTCCTCCATTTCATTAGCTGGTTAACAAAACAACAGAGAAGCTTCTGACATTGCAGTAAACTATTTAAAAGTACATTATTGTGTTTGTTTTCTTATCTGTCACTTAATTTTTAGAAAAAAAATGCACTGTGTAATAAAAGAATAAAATATTTCCTGAGGAAAATTCATCTCAAAGGCAAACACTTCAAGCAGAACTCATTTCTGCTTGAAATTGAGACAATGTTTATTCACATTGCCTGTTTTCTAAATGCAAATGTTTAAAACAATTTGCAAGAATCCTGTGTTAATTCAACTAGAATGGCAATTGTTTCCATGTTGGTTTGTTTTCAACTTTTGCCCACATTTCTTTACCAATACAAATACCATTATTTTATTCAAAGTAACATAATACATGTAGAAATTAGATTCATAACAGACTTGGATGCAAAATTCCCAATATTTAACTATCATAATAAATTAAATGCTGTAGACAGAGCTTGACAGAGCCCCAGCTGTCAACCACAGTTAGATTTTTCATTTCTGTAAACAGGATTAGTAAATTTCTCATTTCTCTGTGTGCACGTATATGTACATGGTTACTGCCAGTTTTATTTGGGGAAACTTATTTCTACTGGTTAAAATATAATTCTTCCCATATGATTTTATCAGTGTTGTTAGTGTTCAGACTGTAATAAGTTCTTTATCTTGTGGTTCTCTGCAGACAGTGATGTTAGGCAGAAAGAAACTGAAAGACATGTTATGACTTAAAGAAGAACAGTCAACAATTACAAGGTTACAAATAGCATGGTCATGTTGTCCCTGGTGACCAATGAAGGATGCAAGAGAGTCTTTGAAGGGAAAGGCTTTATTTTAGGCCTATTAAAACGTGAACTAACTTCTAGATATGCAGGCCAAAGTTTTAGTTTTGAGAATACCTGAAGTAGATATCAGAGTTGTCAGCATGGAGAGGCAGTTAAATGTCTTCCTATTGATAAGATTACTCAAAAATAAGTTACAAATGAAGGTCAAGAGAAGGAGGTTAATACTTAAGTCCAACAAAATCCTAACCAAAAGTTGGAAGGAGGATGAGAAGTGATTACAATAAGAGGAGAAGTAGGAGATGAAAATATGTCACAGAAGACAAGGGTGGGTAAGATGGATAGAAGCGTATGGTCAGTTAACACAAAAGCATCTGAAAGCTGATGGGGTGTTGTACAGAGACGGGTGACAATTCTTTTTAGTTTCAAAGAAAATTATGATCTGATTTCAACAGGTTCCGTTTGCATGGTTGCTAAATGCTAAGCCACATAGATAAGCTCTCAAGATAAATATGGCACTTACCAAAACCAAGAACTCAAACAATTATTCAAACATGTAAGAAATCCTTGCCTGAAGGTCGGTACATTTTGGCCTTTCAGTTGCATAAGCATTTGGTAATCCAGAACCCTAATGCCTCATTAATCCAGCAAACTCATTCTATGATTTCTATCAGTGGTGACATGTAGGGGGTGCCCACTGAGAGTGCCAGTGCACCCCCTGACAGGCCACATTCCCTGCTCAGGCAACAGGTGGAGGGGGGCAGGTGGGACCACTGGTCAGTGTGATTGGTTATGGCCCCCCCCGCTGGTTACTGACTGGTCACTGGGGGGGGAGGGGGAATGTGTCCCCCCTGACTAAGGTGGCACCAGTTGCCCATGATTTCTATGATTCTATAAGAAGCACTTTCAGATAACTGGGTCTCTTCAGCTGTTCCTGGCTGACTACTACCATCAGACATTGTGCACGGTCTCATGTTTCACAATGGCTATAATAAGCACTCTCTCCCCCCCCAATTCCCCCTCCCTCATTTACCAATCAAAACATATCTGACCTGTAGCCAGTCCAGACTTACTAAGATCTCTCTATATTATCCTGGAATGGTTTTTTGTTTTGATTTTTTTAATTTCACCTAAATTTTGGAGTCATGTTTTGCTTGTCAACCATCCAATAAGGGCACTACAGTGCTGGACCTCCTGATAGCATCTTTAAAAACAGAATAGATAAAATGGCAAGACAGTATCTTATAGAATCCCACATATAAAGGCTTTTCTCAAATACTAACATGTTGGAAAATAACAATCCTACAATTAGAAGAGGTCTTGAATAACGTTAACAGCTGTTGAATCAGTAGATTCAGTTAATAAGTAGAAACACACTATGGCAAAGCATATATTATTACCTACCACATGATCATTTTTGAACAATTTTATTTACTTTTATCCAAGTGTTTTGGGCTGTTATAGTGTCCCTTTAAGGAATCTGTAACAATAATGCTTACAAATAGCATGTGTGCTTGCTACCTGTTTTCCCAACCTACAAATATGTTTTTCTTCTCTTACATGCAACCTGAGGTCATCTTCATATATGCCTTAGTATGTGTGACTCCAGGCAAAATGATGCTTTAAAAAAAGTTCAATTAATTTCTTGAACCGAATTGCAGAAAGTAATGGGAGAAAATAATCTTTCTAATGCTTAAATAAGATTTGATATAGATGAGTCTGTGTGCAAAGAATGTAGTCTAATTTCCCCTGTGGTTCATAGGGCCTCATTCTCCGGATCCCATTTTTATGCTTTTCCGTAGAAACAGATTGTGTGCATACAAACTGAGGAAAAAGCTGTGAAGCAAACCACATACAGGTGGATCCAAAATGTGGAATTCATTTAGGGGATTGGGAATGTGCCAGCGTACCTCAAAGAAGGCATGGGTGTCATCTTTACTGAGATTGTGAAACAGCTATTTTCACAGATCTCTTGTTAGCCAATAGGAATGCATCTCTATGAAGTTACTGTTTGTAATGAGACATAGCCAACAGGGCTCAGAGTATAGATTCTTGAAACTGGCAATTAAGATTACAAACACAGAAAATGTTATATTTTAACTCAATTACTTAAATCAGATGGGGAGTTAATGCTCTCTTCTAACCCTAAGATACATGGAAAAAAGATTATTCAGAAGACTACAAAGATGAAGTATTTAACAGTTGAGAAATATTTTCTACTTAAATTAAGGCTCACTCTTACACTATGTAAGGGGCTATGTGCGCTGCTTGGAAATCCCATGGGTTCTTTGATAACTTTGGGGCAACAGAGTAGCAGCCAAATACTATGTAGCTTGTTAGGCAGGACTGCAAGGGCCTTGTTACACATTACACTGCAAGCTGCTCAAATAGGTCAAGTTTTGAGCAGTCACGTTCCACTCAGCAAGGGTCTACACTGTCTGTGCCAGGGGAACAAGCAGGGAAAGATTAACTTACCACCCCACTGCCACCACTTGGCTTGAGCCCAACCCAGAGAGCAGTGGCGGTGGCTTGGCAGGCAGGTTAACCCCTCCCTGCCTACTCCCAAAGGACAAACAGTGGAAGCAGCCACAAGCAAGCAAGAAGGTGGGGGGACGGGGGGATGGGAAAGGCAGTGGGCCCAATCTGGGCCAGTGGGGAAAGGGTGAGGTGTTTAATGTGTAGCCACTTTAGGCTATATGATAATGTAACACAAACTCGGGACTACAGGTCAGAGAGAAACCTAGGCTGATTGGTGTAATTTTCAAGTCACCTAAAGAGTGTTTAAAACTTGTTTCAGGTGTGAATGTACGGACAGTCCAGGAGTTGAGCTCCAAGGGCTGCCTAAGCTTAACATGCAACAAGGCCCTAAATAGCATAAATGCCTCAGAAAGCACAAATTCATTCTCCCCAGTTCTATAAACCAGCCCTTTGCAAAAAGGGCACAAAAAACATGGAGGAGGTAGGAAAAGAAGTTACTGCAATCCCCTTATGTTGCCAGAACCACGTACCTTAGGTAGTGTGGTTGAGTTTATGCTCTGGAACCTTTTGGCAGAATGCCACAGGAGTCCTTTTATACTAGACAATTACATATCCTTCAACATGAAGCATTGATCAGCCATGTAAAGAAACTCACATGCCAACTCAGGACGTCTTCATTGTCATTCCCTGAAAACCCCTATTTCCAAAGTCAAAAGACCCTCTCTGTCAAGAGGACTTCATCTTCCTAATAGTTCCAAGCCAGGGGCTTTTACTAGAACATCTTAGGTAATTTCAGGAGTCCTAATGGGATATTAGGAAAGGGAGCCTCTGAGCCAAACACAGGTACCTTTAGGGTGGAGGGTTGCATTTGTGATCTCACTAACCATTCATAGATGTGCATTACCCAAAACGTAGTTAAGCAGAAAACAAATTGTTGAAATGAAACTTTTACTCCCCCACACCCACCCCAAAATGGCCTAAATGTTACCAAGTATCTTTGATGGAATGATATTAAGCAATACAGATTTTACACAGCATCAACAAGTTTAACATTTATAACCTTTTCATTTTTTTTTTTTTTTTTTGGCATTGCCATCCTTAAACATGTACTTTACACTTTACGCTCATGTGGTCATACCATCTAGATGCATAGTGCAAGACCAGTTCATGGGCTGGATAAACAGCTGGGGGCCAGCCCTGTGGGCCAAATCAGGCCCATGAACACTCTTCACTCCATGCAGTTTGGGGCTCCTGCTCTAGCAGGTCTGTGGCAGATGTTGCATGGAGTGCGAATCCCAGACCGGCTGGAGGAAGTACCAGATCTGGCATTCGGGAAGTACCAGAACAATGAGACAGCCTGTCAAAAATGATGTGCACCCCCCCACCCCCCAAGACATGCATGTCAGTTCCAGTGCTTCCTCCCCAGACCAACCTGAGACTGCACTGTATTCAGTGCCTGCCCCAGACTGGTCAGAATGGGTGATGAATCTGGCATGTAGGGGTGGTCCTGGGCTGGCCCTCCATGGGACTAGCAAAAGTAGGCAGAAAATACAGTCTGGCAAAGAAGAGGCACATCATTTTTGACAGGCTGTCTCTTTGATCTCCCTGCTTTAAACAAAGAAAATGAAGTAGCATAATAAGTCTATTTTAAGATATGCTAAACAGTCATGAACCCACTTCACCCTGCATGAGGTATCAACAAACAACACATGAAGCATCATGGACTCTTTTTAGTTCTTGGAAATACAATCCTGCCATATTCATATTTACTGGTCCCATTGGTCAAATTGTTTATTAATGGACTGATACTAGAAGAAATTATATTCCAGTGGGAAGCATCCATCTGCAAGATCTTCTGGCTTTTGTTCTGTAAGAATGAACTGCCTCCTAGCAACATGAGAGGAACACAAATTCCTTAGAATACTAGACATAGTTTGCCTAATCGTTACAACATTTATTCCAAATAAATGAAAGGAAGTGGCAAAGGGAGTTTTAGATTTTAAAAGAAGTATAATGTGAAGGAAACTTGAAAGTCAACTAATTTATTATTGATGGTGAACTTGTTTGTCCAAAATAAAAACTAGCCTACAACTCTGATCAATTTGAGTGAGCCCAGAAAAACTTTTATACAATAAAAGCAAGTCCTTTTGCAGTTTTTGTAGTTCTATTTTGGAGCTCAGATAACCATAATAATCCAAGAAGGATTTCCATATTTGAGGGGTTCTCTCATGATCCAAGCAAGCTTTTTGAGGATTATTCTTTGAAATTTCACTCAGAAGATGGTCCAGGAAAATTTACTTGCTCTCTCCAGATTGAACTCAAAAAACAAAAACAGAAGGACAATGAAAAGCCAGTGTTGTAACTCGCATGAGTAGTTTGGATGGCATGAAAATACCCACCGAGCACCTGCCACATTATATGTGTGTGTGAATTAGTGACATGCACATCAAAGTATGCAAACTATAACCTAATATCCAAATTATGCTGCAAAATGCCAGCTCACATCTTGTTGCACAGTGTTGATAAGCTTCACAAGTATGACATCCAACAGCCTTGTGGGAGACAGGAATGAGGAATAATATCCATATTGCATTGTTCCTTACTGTCTGTGCTACATGGCACAAAATAGAAGAAGATGTGGTCCTTTCCTTCAGGCCACCTTTCAGTCAGAGCCATACTTTTCCTTGGTAAACTCTTTTTGGAAACAGAAGGTTAACATGCTTTAAAACATGCCAACTGATCTTTTTTTAAAAAATTAAAACTATTACCAAGATACAAGGAGGCTATTTAGAGATCACTCGGAAGACTCTTCCTCCATGGAAGAACAATGTCTTGTTCTTTGTATTCCTTGCCCATGACCACAAAACACATGTATACAATTAGCAGAGCTCACATCTCTCAGGTGACTAAGGCTAGGTGCAGACATTCAGAAAGCCCAAGGAGGAATCGATCCATGTTATACATTTTCTGTATGCAGTGTAGTTTAGATTGGTAGTGAATAGAACACACATTAGCCCTTCAGTGGAGGAGAGGTACATCTTAGACTAGGTTCTGCCATTTTTAAACCAGTCTGTGTGCTGAACTTCTTTTCTGTTCCAGGTATAGACAGGTTTCCAATCACTTATAGCAGTAAATGTGTAATGTCTGTACCTGGCCTATAGAGCTGGGTTTTTTCAGATACAGCAGTGAAGAACTGGTGGGGCTACACCAGTGTCACTAGTTCTGCATCTGGACCCACAACATATAGGGCACAACCACTGAGTTAATCAAGGGTGTTGGGGGTTAGTGGATTACAGCTCTATAGTGGCATCTACACTATGATGTGAAGGTGTGATTTAGTAAGCATAACCAAAAGCTATCCTTAAAAATAGCCAGTTTTCGTACCAATACACCAGTCTACCTACCACATAATGTTTCTTAGCCTGACCTAAATGCCTGAGAATTTACCCAGGATTTGGGCCATGTTTTCCAGCCTGTGTTAAATCTCATGTTTCCGAAAGCCACACTGATATTGGTACCCAAACTAGTTTGGAAATACCTTTGGTTTATTTGTGATAGACATATCCTATAAGAGGTAAACTACATTCAAGTCAAGGGATTTTAGTACCCTCTCATCTCATTGTTATCTTTCCTCTAGAAGTGGTCAGGACTGAGTTGATCCTTTAGAGAAAGTCCATAAATCTCACCCTTGACTAATACGGTCATCTTCAAAATGTGATAAAATGTTTTAAATGAACATACCTAGTTACAACCACAATCAAATACAGCACTTCCAAAATAAAAAAAGAGAGAGAGCGAGCTCCCATATGATTTCTTTCCTATAGGTAGGGGAGGCTATAATAACCAAAAGAGATTCAAGAAACTGTTTAATCATTTGTGTAGTGTGTGACCATGCTGGGTATATAGAATGAACATCCAATTGAAAAGTCTCATAGCAAATGAGAAAAATGTACCTTCATAGTTCATTACTTCATCCATTTTATCAGTCTTTATCTTATGTTCACACGATTCTGAATTCAGTTTCCCCCTGCCCTCTACTATTCAGTTCTGGTGGTGCAGGGCCTCTAGAAATCTGGGTGTGAATAAACTTCCTCAGTCACTAGGGAACCACAGATATTTTCCCATCCCAAGCGATAGTTGACTGTTACCATTCCCCATGCACTTTTGATCCATATATATTAATCCTATCTTTGAACAGCAGTACAAATTGAAGCATGTTTGTGGTAAAACATATGACAAAATGAATCATTATTTCAACATAAGAGACATACAGACACTAAGGCTGCATCCACATGAGCATGGACATTCATTTCCCCAGGGACAATTAGCGGTGGGATATATGGGAGGTCCCCAGAAGCTTTACTTGTTCTGGGGACAACTAGCTTGGGGAGATTCCCAGAAGATTTACCTGCTAAGGCCATTGTGCCAACTGGAGCCTGGTTGGCAGCTGGAGTGCAGCTCCAGCCAGGCACACTCCAGTTTTGGGTGGCACTTTCTCCACATACACCACCCTGTTTTTTGGGGGGTTTTGCATGGATTTTTTTGACCCCTGGATATCCAGGAGTCAACACCCCTGACCCCCATGCTGTTCCCTTGCAGCTGAACAGAACAGCTGAATGTGTGGTATGCATATGCAACATATTGCACTACTGTCCCCATCTGGACACAGCCTAAGAGCACAAACAACTACAGCAACATCTCAGCAATGTACATTGACCGGGGGTGGTGGACAGACAAACACTTCAGTATGCATCCTCTCCCTCTCTGCCCCTGGAAACACATCTCTGCATTAGCACCCTACCACTGAGGTTCTTTAGTTTTGTGGGGAGTAGCCAAGCATAGAGTTAAGCAGACTTGGGAGATGACAGTGTTGCTTCCTAGGAAACCAACAACATTTTTGTAGGAAACTATGGCATCTTTAAACATTAACTCTCACTTTTCAAATCCTTCCCACTCATTAAAAAAAACAATGAGTATATGTACATAAACTAGAGCTAGTAATACTGGGCAGTTGCATAAAAGACAGCAGTATATCCTCTGCCCATGAATGCCATTTTGGCTTTCACACAGAGCAGTTGAATTATGGATTGTCCTTAAAAACCATAACAGTTTGAATGCTCTTTATTTTTATGTGAACAAAGTGACTTTAATCGTTTTCATGTGCAAGTTAAAATTTATCAATAGCCTCTCTCCCATTAACTTCAAAAGAAAAATGAGATATGAAATTTATGGACATTACTGTTTAAAAAGAGGATTGTTTTTAATGTTTTGTCTTCAATAATGAGACTAGGTGTTTGCTGCAGGCTTAGGAGGAATAACGATAAAACATTTAGTTATCAAAGACAAGTGTTTTTAAAGGGTAATCACTGTACATTATGCTGCAGTGGCCTATAGTTTAAAATGAACAATAAACACTTGTCAAACAATATATTATGCTTTCTCCTACGGAGACTTTCTGAATCCATGTTCTTTGTTTCTTTGGATAGCGTTTTATTATTTCCTATGGATTTAACATTTGCAGCAGGTTAAATACATAAATGGGGGGAAGGGTTTGGAAAAAAACTTGGGGCAAAAAGCACCATTAGGATATTCTTCTTCTTTCCAAATGATATAAACACAAATTCCAGGAGTGGGAAGAAGAAATGGAAGGAATGTTTATTCTATCAGAGTACCCACTTTGTCTGTATCAGGAAGTACATGCAGGAAATGAAGGAAAGATATTAATACTTTTTTTTTTTTTGGTCAATTCACCTCTCTGAAACTAAAATGCTGTCCAAAAAACTAAGGGCATGCTGCATATGGAGAACCACTTGTCCTCAGAGTTTTAGGAAAATCTCATTATAGAGCTTAATTTTGCTTGTCTTGATCTGGCAAATTCTTTCCTAGATGACAGATAAAGCACTACCAGAATAAACATTTTGCTTTAAAAACTTGATATTATTTCTTTAAAAAAATCTAAAGATTATATGATTGCTGGTTATCATCCAATTATCCTGTTTAGAATAAAGCTTTCTTACATTTTAAAAGCTGTGTACAAAATACTTTTTTGTCCTACTGCATTACTTTCTATCTGCCTGTGCCACCCTACTCTAGTACAAAATAAATCCATGGTTAGAAGTATACCAAGCAAGAATAACCATTCCAAAGTACATCTTCTTTGAAGTGGGTTTTTTTCTTTTCTCTGTAGGCTATTATCAAGTCAAAATGAAACATGAGCAGAGTTCTTAAGGTGACTGAGAGAGAACTATTTGTATCATTTTAGCAATCAACATGACCTACTTTTACAATACATTCCCAAAACCATAACAACTCAAAACAGAGCCTGGCAAGAAGAGTCAGAGGGGACTTGGTGGCAGTCTATAAGTATAACAGGGGCATACATCAGAGCCTGGGGGAGCATCTATTCACCAAGGCCCCCCAGGGGAGGACAAGAAATAATGGGCACAAACTGATTGAAGAGCGCTTCAGGCTAGACACAAGGACAAATTTCTTTACAAGTTGAGTGCTGAGGGCTTGGAACTGGCTTCTCCTAGAGGTGGTACAGTCATGTACCCTGGTGATCTTCAAAAAGTGTCTTGATGCCCATCTTGCTTGGGTAATCCAATCCCAGCAGTCATTCCTGCCTGTGTGCAGGAGGGCTAGACCCGATGACCTGTAAGGTCCCCTCTAGCCCCTATGAAACCCCATCACAAGGACAACAGAATCTTTCTGACCATCACCTACAGCCTTCAGCTCAAACATTTTTGACACAACCTCCAACTCCTTAAAAATGATGACCATCTCAAGGCAGCTCAGGGGGCTTACATTCTGCAACTTCCGCCTCCCCGCCTTCTCCCCCGTGAAAAAAATCTCTCTAGCACAGACTATCTAACTCCTATCCTCATTAGACCTTAAAACAGACTGAGATGCAAGCTGTGCCCTTCATCAATACAGACTACATCAACACTGGACCAAACAACGTGGATAACCTCTGAGGTTCATTTCACCTGCTCCTCTACCAGCACCATATATGGCATCACCTGCTTACAGTGTCCCTTCACTGTCTATATAAGGTAAGACAATCCCTACATGAAAGAAAATGAATGGAGACTGATTCAACATTGATTTCAGAAATACACAAAAGCCCATGACAGAGCACTTTAACCTCAGAGTAGCTGTTTTTAAGGAACAAAACTTTAGAAACCAACCTGAATGCAAAACTGTGGATCAAGAAGTCATCCACAGACTGATTATGTAAGCATGGCTGACTGGGACTATGGATTCTTATGCCATTACGTAAGCTAGCTGTGTACCTCAGTGGGTTAACTGCCTTGTTTATCACTATTGACCTACACAACACACTTTCACTCATCATTAGTGCCCCCTTCCCCTTATGTTTAAAATTCTCTTCTATTTAGTAGCCAGTCCATTCATAGCATCAGAAAAAGTAGACTGTCACTTACAAAAGCTAACCAGTTAGCTCTGAACTAGTTAGTCTCTAAGGACATTTTAATACATGCTCAGGAGTGAGAGGTTGGCACTTCAATTAGAGCAGCTTTGAGAGCCATTCTAATTAAATTGTTGGCAGTGTCCTGTTTTATATTCCCATTTGTGATCTGTTTTCTTTTTCAAAAGGCCAAAACTGCTCCTATAACAGCAGGTACCAGAGTTCTCCTTGTTTCTTCTGTATATGAATTGGGCTACGTATTCTGTCAGTGTCCCTGTGCTTCAAAATGGCAGTGGGGGTGATTTAACTAAAGCTTTTTCAATGAGCTTTAGTTAAAAAGTGCCCCTGCCACCATTTTGAAGTGCAGAGATGCTGATGCACAAGACATGGAGGCTGGCTGGACTCGATTAATTAAGTCTGCTCCTACGTGCTTTAATTACAGCATGTTGGAGCAGACATGCTGGGAAGCTAAGGTATCACTCTGGCCTGATTCTTTAGCAGTCAAGTAAAGAATGAATGATATAGTGATATTTGGATGTTCCCATTCAGATAAAAAAAAAAAAGGGAGTATATAATATAATAATATATTCCTGGATCTTTAGTGCTTAAAGCAATCAAAAAAATTGTTTTTGCATACTCATTAAACATATTTTCACGTGTGCCTTGACCTTTCAGGGAAAGAACAAAATAGTTACTATGGGAGGAAAAACTAAGTTCCATAATAAAGATGGTCAGGTAGGCCCCGGTTATATAATGATTTTGTACAAGTAGCATCTTCTTACTGTTTCGCACACACACATCTAATTGTATGGATTGATCCATTTCTTTAGTCTTTACATGAAAATGTGTTTAAAAGTGTTATTTGATGGAATTTTATGGATTAAAACAATAGCAATTCTGACTAGCTCTATATGTTAAAAAAGTCATTTCCTTTTACATTTCCTTTTTTCCAGGATGTCTGTTTCAAAATGTCAATATTTTGTCTGAGGTCAAGTTATCGCTATTCTTCTACATATAAATACATTTTCTCCTAGAAGAAAACTAATTTGTCATCAGCACTGCTCAGTTATTTTGATCAGTGACCAGTTCGGTTAACACTTGCAAACTGCTGTCATGTCTAAATGAATCCCACCCTTTGAACTTTAAGCAGAGAAAATTAATGCACATTTCCACTATGTCCTGCAAGACCTTTTTTTTGCAATGAGACTGAGGCTGAAGAGTTGAGACTTCCACTTATTATTTCAGAAGGCGTGTCTGAGCAGAGCAGGAAGTGGAAAGTCTTTTTAAAGGTGAGAAACAGGTCTCTAAAACAATGAGGCCAACACAGGAAAATTCATTCAACCCTGACACTATCCTAGGGAAAGGGAGTGCTGGGACTAGAGGTGAAAGAGGAAGTTTAATGCAATTCATTAGCCTAAATACACGTATGAGAAAACTTCATTCATTCTCCTGCTGATTCCCTTCCCAGGATTTTTTGCTATGTTGATTTTTGGCAGATATTCTATCCCAGAGGAGCTGGGGCAAAATGGGGGAGGGGTCAACTGAATATCAGTTAGCAAAAGGAAATTTTGCCTAGCAATTGCTCAGAGAGTGCCTCGTCTGTCCTGTACAGCCCTATAAAGGGGTGGAGAGGAACAAAACCTACA